AATCGATTACCTTCTATTTTCTTCCGGGGGTGACGGGAGACAAAGTGCCAGATGGAGGAGGAAAAGAACTAGCATTTCAATTCAGACGATTCCCAGCTGTGGCAGAAAAGCATTAGGTAGCCTGGAATATACACAAAAGAAAAAAGAAAGAGAGAGAGAAATTGCAATGAAATCTGGACACCCTACACATTTAGGAGGCCCAAGTTTTATAATCTGAATAAACTGCCAGGCCTACAATTAAAAAAAGACATCCTGAAGAAGGCTGGGGATGAAAGAACAGGTGTCCCAATGGTCGTGAGAAGAATTCGCACTCTACACAGCCTTGCCTTTGGGGTGTGCTAGAGAAGGCAGTTTTATAATCTTCTTATATACTATAAGTATAAATTATAAGAGCCTTGGTGGCGCAGCACACTGAAGTGCTGTTAAGTAGCACCAGCTGCCTGCAATTACTGCGAGTTCAAATCTCACCAGGCTCAAGGTTGACTCAGCCTTCCATCCTTTCGAGGTAGGTAAAATGAGGACCCGGATTGTGCGGGCAATAAACTGACTGTATAAAAAAGAACACCGCTTTGGGGGCCCTCGAAAGCTCTATTAAGCAGGTATATACAAAAGTATGAAGGCTATTGCTTAACGCATTGTAAAACGCCTTGAGTCTCCGGAGAAAGGTGGCATATAAATTCAACCAATAAACAATATTAAACAATAAATGTACAATTATAATGATAAAAGTGACAGATTAGGTAAAATTGAAAAAGAAATCGAAAAGAAAGTATATATTATTAGAATACTGGAGTTGCTCGGATACCAAACGGGATATATTCCACCACAAAGGAGAAAGAAAGGAGAGAGGAGGGTAAGGAGAGGAGAGAGAGAGAGAGGAATGGAAGAAAGGGGAAAGGAGAGGAAAAAAGGACAGGGGATAGGAGTAGGAGAGAAGAAGGTGAGAAAGGGGGGAAGGAGTGGGGGAAAGGAAGGGGAAGTAGGAAAGAGGGAGGAGAGGAGGAGGGAGAAAGTAGTAGAGGAGAGAAGGGAGGGAAGGGAAAGAAAGAAGAAGGAAAAGAAGGTTTGTTGTGAAATGAGGGGGAAAAAAGGGTAGAAGAGCAACCCCCAATGTAATTAAAATGCCTTATTTTTATCCTTTCTTTAAGAAAAATATGTATATGTATGTATGATCAATTATGCATAAGAGAATGTACATTTACATTATGTGTATAAGAATTAAAAATAAAAATAAATTCTTTAAAAAAGGGGAAAAAAAGAAGGCAGTTTGCTGCCAGTGTATGAATATTTCAAGTTTTGGATGACAAGTGAGGCCTGGACTTCAGAAAATAAATAGTAGTTAACTAGTGAAAATTAACCAAGAAAAGAATTGGGGAGTGCCATCCAATGGACGGGTGGGTGGATGGGCCTAACCTGTTGCTTTCCCTTGCTTTATTGGAGGCGTGTAAGGTGTGATGTGCTGTACAAAGGAAACCCCCTCCTCGTGACACATCTTCACACAAGAACCTGCATAGGGGGTATTAGGGAGCTCCAGACCATTAATCCCTGGTTGTTTGAAATGATATTTTTTTGGGGGTGGGCTCTTTCATCTGGGAGTAGGGAGAGGAAAAACATCAGGAAAATCCGAACCTGTTGTAAATGTACAATGTTAGCGAAAGCTGCTTTCTTTTGTGACTTGGGGTAAGAATTAGCCAGTTTGGGCAAGGTGAAATCATCTTTTATATATGGATTAAGTAGAGTTCTTCCTTGCTCTACTAATCATTCAATCTCTCTATCACTCTATCTATTTCTAATCATCTATTATCTATCATCCCTCTCTCCATCCATCCATCCATCCATCCATCTCTAATCTATCATCCATCTCTATTCCTATCTATCTATCTATCTATCTATCTATCTATCTATCTATCATCTATCTATATCTATCTCTAATCTATCATCCATCTTTCTTATCTCTCTCTCTCTCTCTCTCTCTCTCTCTCTCTCTATATATATATATATATATATAAAATCTATCTATCTATATCTATCTCTAATCTATCATCCATCTTTCTTCTCATCTCTCTCTCCCTCTCTCTCTCTATATATATAATCTATCTATATCTATCTTTAATCTATCATCCATCTTTCTCATCTCTCTCTCTCTCTCTCTCTCTCTCTCTCTCTCTCTATATATATATATATATATATATATATATTCTAATAATCTATTATCTATCATCCATCTCTCTCCATCCATCCATCTCTATCATCCATCTCTAATCTATCATCCATCTCTATTCATATCTATCTATCTATATCTATCATCCATCTCTCATCTCTCTCTCTATACATCTTATCATCCATCTCTCCCCATCTCTCTCTAATCTATCATCCATCTCTATTCATATCTATCTATATCTCTAATCTATCATCCATCTCTCATCTCTCTCTCTCTCTATATATATAATCATCTTATCATCCATCTCTCCCCATCTCTCTAATCTATCATTCATCTCTATTTATCTCTCTCTCTCTCTCTATTATATCTAATCCATCTCTCTCTCTCTCTCTCTCTCCATCCTCTATCATCTATCCATCCCCTTCCTCCCTTCCTCCCTTCCAACATAACCTCTCTCTCTCTCTCTCCCAGTTCCTACCCATCCTGTATCTGAAAGGGAGGAAGGATGTGTGCGTGTGCACTCACAAGGATGGGGCACACACAGACACAATCGGGGGGTGGGGTGGGGTGAGGGGGTGGCAGTCCCCCAGATGCCGGAGAGGGCAGCTGCAGATGGCTGAAGTGAGAAGATTGGCCTCGAGTGACAGCTTTGCTGGGCATAATAAATACAGAACTGCAGGGAGGCCTCTTAAGGCGGTCGACTCCAACGCATAATAAACCACCAGCCAGTTTAATAAACAAAATAATAAAACAAGCATAATAAACACGGGCCAGAGAAACAGTTTGGTCTAGTTAGTTAGTTAAGGCACCAGACTAGAAAGCCAGGAGACTGCGAGTTCAAATCCAGCCTTAGCCAGGAAAGCTGACTGGGTGACTTTGGGCCAGTCCCCCCTCCCTCAGCCTAGCCCACCTCACAGGGTTGTTGTTGTTGTGGGGGAAAACATGAGGAAGATGCTTTTGGATATGTTTGCCGCCTTGAATTATTTGTAAAAATAAGAAAGGCACAAGATAAATAAAATAAAAAATCAATCACACACACACATACAGGCAGACAGTCCTCCCATCCCCCCTTCTTCTTTTAACCCACAATGAACAAGCTACCCGCTCTTAATAAGTCCTAAACCAGGTTAATGACCTGGGTGTTGCTAGTCCTCATTGTCCTTGCTACTTCTAAGGCGGAGGCCCTCCTCTTTGTGGCCCAGCCCTCTTCTGCGAGCTCCCCTTTGGGCCACGCCGGGCCTGCCTTGCAGGGGTGTGAGGAAAAGAGCAACCCCAAAACCCTTTTGGAGGGAAAAGGCACCAATGAGGCACCAAAATCTCCCCCATGGGGCGCCTCACGTACCCCAAGAGACATTTGAAGGCCAACCTGGCTCAGCAGGGGCCAAAAAGGGGCCCTTTGGGGCCAAAAACAGGGCCTTCAGCTGGCGCCTGAGGTGTTTGGTGCCTGCCCTCCATTAAAGGAACGAGCCCCACCTGTGGGCACCTGAGGGGAGTGGGGGTGGGGTGGGCCATGAAGAAGCGGGTGGGGTCAACAGGCTTGGGATGGAATGGCCTTTGGGGTCCTGGGTGGCTGGGGATTATGGGGGGGTCTAGTCCAAAGCTCTCAGGAAGGCTGAAGCCAGGATAAAAAAAGGTCCGGATAACTTCATATGATGGGTCAATCGTTTTTAAGCCAGCAATTTGGGAAGTGGAGGGTCTGCATTGGCCCTTAAAAGCCTCTTCATCCTGCACTCCCAGGGAAACGGGCATGTTTTTAAATATGGTATCTAAATAAATTACATTGAAATATAAATGTTGCAGATTGCAAGCTCCTTGGAGGGTAGACCCACCCCCTCCCCAAAACCTCATTTTATACATCCACAGGCATTTGACGTTTCAACCTAAAATACTTTTTCCCCCTCCCCATTTCTTCATTGTTTATACCGTTTTTATTAGTTTATAATATTAAGTAGAAAAGCAAATTGGAGCAAAAATAAAGGAGGGGAAGGGGTAAGTGTAAAAAAGGGGGGAAAATATGTTGACTTCTATCTCCCAATTTCTAAACTCCCCCATTTCTCTCCAAACAGGACTCTAAAGCATCTTGGAGATTTATTATTATTTTCATGCTCTTGTTATTATTTTTCAGAATATCTGAGGTGATTATTTTCAGAATATCCGAGATTATTATTTTCAGAATATCCGAGATTATTACTTTCAGAATATCTGAGATTATTACTTTCAGAATATCTGAGGTTATTACTTCAGAATATCTGAGGTTATTACTTTCAGAATATGAGGTTATTACTTTCAGAATATCCGAGGTTATTACTTTCAGAATATCCGAGGTTATTACTTTCAGAATATCCGAGGTTATTATTTTCAGAATATCGAGGTTATTACTTTCAGAATATCTGAGGTTATTATTTTCAGAATATCTGAGGTTATTATTTTCAGAATATCTGAGGTTATTACTTTCAGATATCTTATTACTTTCAGAATATCTGAGGTTATTACTTTCAGAATATCTGAGGTTATTACTTTCAGAATATCTGAGGTTATTACTTTCAGAATATGAGGTTATTACTTTCAGAATATCTGAGGTTATTATTTTCAGAATATCTGAGGTTATTACTTTCAGAATATCTGAGGTTATTATTTTCAGAATATCTGAGATTATTATTTTCAGAATATCTGCCAGATGAAAACTATCCATCCTCATCCCTGTTTTAAAAAACCTCTTACCTTGTTGCTGGTTTGCAGGGGACAAAATGGGGGTGTCGGAAGTGCAAACAGCCTCCTTCGTGTGTGACACCCCCCCCCCACGCCCACGTAGTACCAAGAAAAGGCAAAACGGGAAAGGTAGTGTAGCTCGGTTTTTATTTATGTCCACAAATATTTCAAAAAAATTACAAAATACTCAAATGGAGAGAACACAGAATTCACAACTCCTGGGTTTTTTTTTTCTTCTTCTTCTATATCCTGCTTTACACTGTGTTACCCCATGGCAAACTACTCATATATACACTAAGCCTCAAGATATATATAAACGTAGTTGTCAGAAGGGAGAGCTTGAATAAGGACAACACTGAACGAAGAGACGGGTTGGTGAAATAAAACGAACGAACGAAAATAATGATCCACCCCAAACTAGGAGAGTGGGGCAACCAGAATGAGAAAAAAAAAGAAAAGGAAAAAAAAGAAATGTGTTGTTAAAACAAAACAAAAAACGGAGAAGGTTCTGCAAAATGTTAAACCACAAAAGGGAAAAAAAATCGGGCGGTTGCAACAGAGAAAGGCGATTGCTAAGAGATTGGGAAGAAGTAACACTGCGAGTTAAAAAGTTTTCCCACCCTGGAATGATTCAAAATATTAACTGGAAAATTGGAAGGGTGGGTGGGAGTTCAACAGGATGGTATCTTTGACTTGAGTGTGCAACTTCTGTTTTCCGCGTTTCCCAAAAGGGGATCTTACGTTTAGGCAGATTCCCCGAAGACTCGGGAGGTTTACCTGTTGAAATTAAGATTTTGCTTTTCTCTTCCACGAACGAACAGGAGACGGAAGAAGGATGTTCACAAATTACTGGGGGCTATTCTGCTGTTGTTGTTGTTTTTTAGTGTTTTCCACTCCAGAAAAGCGGATGAACTTTTCAAGATTCCTTCACTTTTTTTTTTAGCTTGTCTTGCTAGTCGGTGGGGAAAAAAAATACGGTTTTGTGGTTTTTTTTGCATCTGACTTGCAAAAGAAATAAATAAAAATTAAAAAAAAAGTTTTTTCCTGCTTCTCAGTCCCATTCTCTTCCCCCAAAGGCCAGATTTAACTGTTTGTATCTCCTGCAAGTAAAGGCAAGGGAGACCCATCCGATCGCCAACGTGGATTGAGGTTTAATTCCGGGCTGGGTGAGATCACCCCCAAAAGACACCGCCACCCCCCACCCCGAGCCAAGCCAAATCTATCTTGTGAAACCGAGATGCAGGTCTGTGCTGGGAATTTTTTCTTTTTAACCTTTAGGGCGAAAGGGATGATGGGGGCAGGCTGCAAACTGCCATCAGGAAGGGAGATTCTGAAGGATTGGGAGAGGGTATCCTGAGAAAACACAGGTGATTTTATTTTTTAAAATGGCCTTTGCACCAGAAATCTTGGCTTCCCCCCTGCCCCCCCCAAAAAAAATAAAGAGGGAGGGGAGAGACACGGGGCAGCAAAGGCTTCCGACAGAAGCAACGAAAAGGGGAACTGGTGACGCAGGCACACGTTTCGTATTGGCCTCCCAATTTAAAAGCTTGTCTGACGTTAACCGTGGGAAGGGCGAGGATTCACAGTGCGAGTCCAGCAACGGCCAGGTAGCTCAGCTGGAGGCTGGCGTGAACGATCTCGCGAAAAGGCAAGTCGTCTTAACCAAACGCGTTCCTGAGTGTTGCCAAAAATTCCGATTTTATTCCGCTTCCCGACACAACCCAGAGGGTAGACTGAGGCTGGAAGGGAGGAGAGAAACCTGCCCGAACAATCGTGCGTGCCCACGGGCGACTTAAAATTATATTTACAGCCAGCATTTTTTATGCATAACCGGTTTGAAAGCAGCCTACTGCTCTGGCCAAGCCTTTTTAACCTTTTCTCAAACGATTTAAATTGATGGGCTGGCAGAAATGATCCACAGGCTCAAATTAAGAAGGGTATGGTAAAAAAATACCTTCAATGTTCCTACGCTGTTGGGATAAAAAAAAAAAAAAAGCAATAAAATCAGAAAAAGGAGTGTGGTATGTAAAAGAGGCACCTCCAGGGATGAGGTGATGTACCCACAATCTGGAAGAGACAACTGCTTTTGTAACACAACCAGCTACTGAAGGAAATGGGAGGAGAATGTTTATGGAACGTTAAGTAATTAAATAAAGAACGTTGCACATGTAACATGTGTGCAAAAAATAAAATCAAAACTGTGTTTTGTTTTTTTTAATATTATCCCTGCAACTCCTTTTAATGCTTTTGCGCTCCGACCAGCCGTTCTGAAATTATTGACTTTATGGTGCTCCCCTTTTTCATGAATCAAAGGATCGCTTATATATATATATATATTCCTCTTATTTGTTTAAAAAATCAAGTCTATATTCTCGTGAAACAGCAGGTTTTAAGAAGTAGATGATTTTATGATGAGAGAGGAAGGAAGTCGGGGCTGGAGAAGAGGCAAAAAAATAATTATTATTATTAATAAATCAGGAATTCATGAAATTATAATCATCTTTTTAAAACCCCTAACCCCTCCCCCGAAAAACTTATTTACAGACTTAAAAAGCCATGCTGCAAAGCTCTCTTTTAAAATTATGAAGTTTGCCTACAATGTATTAAAATAAAAGTAGATTTTTTTTTCTTTTTTTAAAATTCTATTATAGCACTTGGATTTTTTTCTCCGGAGGTTTGTAAAGCCACTAACTTGCGATTCTCGGGTATTTTTTTTATTTTTATTTTAAGTATATATATATATAAATTGAATATACTTTTTTTTTTATGCACAGTGGCTTGCATTAGAGGTTGTGAATCTGAAACTAGCACCTACTCAAAAATGAAAATGAAAAAAATAAAATAGAATAAAAATAAAACCAACAGCCAAAAACATACCAAACCAATAAGAAATTGTTTGGATTAATTTCTCTCCCGGTTCTGTTTTGTTCCTCTTCTTCCTCCCATTCCAAAAAAGGAAAAAAAAAAAAAAGGGAAAAAAAGAAAAGGCCTTTTAACAGGTTTAAGTCATGCAAGGAGACTCCTGAACTGGTCTTTTGAGAAATCTTTCCTACAAGTGAATACTATACAGAACGTATGCACCAATTCACGTCTCGTGTGAGGTTTGGCTTTCGGGCGAAACTGATGGGGCTGCTGTGTGTTTTCCACCGTGCGAAAAGAGAGAAGAAGGTTCTTTCCAGCAGTTCTCGAGATTCAAACACATTCCACTGCTTTCTCCCCCCCACGAGGACTAGGAACTTGAGTAGTCAGCGTCACAAATAAATAAGGTATTACAACTGCTTGTCGCCCTCTTTCTTCAGACGGCTGGAAAAAAAGAGAGAGAAAAAAAGCAGGAAGTGAAAAGCAAGCGCGGGGCGGGGGGGGCAGTGGGGGGGGGGGGTCCAGCACGCGTCCCTTTACCTGTAATAGTCTTCTTGGCTGGGAAGATGCCCCCCGTGGATGTGGGGGTGCCCGTGAAGCCACTGCTGCTCCATGGCGAGTCGCTGAAGCTCTGCCGACTGGGCGTGCATAGCTTGTAACTGATGGGCCGCTGACATGGGAGGAGGGATGGCGCCAGGGAGGTCGCGTGGGTAGGGGGCACCTGGGAGAAAGAGGGAGAAGGCATCTCCAGAGACGAGCAGGGCACGGATCACCCCTCCCCCCTCCCGGGGTCTTCCGTGTCCCATCAGTGGGCATACCGAGTGTTCTGACGGGAAAAAAAAACACAACCCTTTTTTATTACGTGACTGTGAATTCCTCTCATTCACATCCAGCAAAGTCTTTCAAGGGAGGATTGACAGTCACAGACTTTATCTGGCTTGGAGAGCCGCCAGGCCGATATCTTCAAAACTTGGCAAGGAGTCTCAGAGAGTCACGAACCAATTAGATGAACTAATTGTCTCCTGCAAACTCCACTCCCCTTTCGCTCCTCTTTTATTTCCCTCTGGGAGGGGCCGTTCATCGTCCACCTGTGGCTTTACTCCTGAGTCGTCTCTTGTTCTTTAGCTGTTCCCTTCTCCTGGCAGCTCACACTGGGAACAGGCTCCAGCTCTTCTTCTGCCCCACTGATGTCCGACTCCGAAGGCAGCTGACAACTGTCAGACGGCCCTGGCCCTCTCTCTGCCTCTGACGCAGAGCCCTCATCAGAGCCGTCCCCAGACTCCAGGACTGGCCCACGTTCCTCCGCAACCTCCTCACTGTCTGAGTCTGCCACTATCTCTGCTGGCGGGCCACAACACCGAGTTGGCTTTATGGGGAAATCCATCTAGGGATATTGACCATCTCCTCTGTGGTCTGCCCTCTTGCCCGCCCAACCCCTAATGTGGCTGGCCTGATAGGGGCAGGTGGGCATGTTGTGTGAACCTGGCAGGTTGCATCCCCGTCCCCCCACTCACCGAAGACTGGATGCCGCAGCATTTCATGCTCGTGAGATGGCTGTCCTAGCAGCGGGTTGGGGATGGTACCAGGAGGGTAAGGGAAGCGTGCCAAGTGCGGTCCAGCGGCTAGAGGGTCCACGAGGGGGTGAACGGGTCCGGCTGAGCCTGAGAAAGGGGATGGGGCAGGAGAAGGGGGTGGAGGAAAAGGGAAGAGTTACCACCCATTTAGAAACTCAGACTTTCCATCCAAGATCAAAATCATCCTCATTACAGACAGTCCTTAATTTACGACCGCAATTGAGCTTGAAATTTCCGTTGCTAAGCAAGACAGTTCAGTGAGTTTTGCCCCTATTGCAACAGTTATTCAACGAATCAATGCAGCTGTTAAGTTAATGACACGGTCGTTAAGCGAATCTGGCTTCCCCGTTGACTTTGCTCAACGGAAGGTCGCAAAAGGGGATTGCGTGACCCCCTGGGATTCTGCAACCGTCATAGATACGCATCTAAATTTTGATCACATGATCCTGGGGATGGTACAACAGTTGTTAAGTGTGAAAAATGGTAACAAGTCACTTTTTTCAGGGTCATCGTAACTTCACTAAACAAATTCACTAAATGAATGTTGTAACTTGAAGACTACTTGTAGCTGGGCATAAATGGAATTGATTAGAAAGCTTCTCTCTGCTGAAAAGTCATCCCTTACTTCTCTGCCCAGCATGTCTGAAGTGGCAGCTGCCTGTCAAACAACCCTTAATACTGTATTTTTTGGAGTATAAGACCCACTCCCCCCCCCCATAAAAGAGGGTGAAAGTTTGGGTGCGTCTTATACACCAAATGTAGCCCCGCCCACCCGCCGGCCCCCTGGAAAATGGGGCTCGCGGAGGTGGCAATAGGCTATGGCAATCCCTGCAGCCTGAAACAGCTGATCCTCTGAAGGTTGAGCCAACCAACAATCAGCTGCTTGTGCTGATCAGGCTGGGCTGAAGCTGAAATTGAAACGTACTAAAAAGGTAGGTGTGTCTTATAGTCCGGAGCGTCTTATACTCCAAAAAATACAGCCAAAAAAAAAAAAAAGGGGGGGGGGGGGGAAACAAGGGAAAAAGGTTTTCCTTTTTTCCTCAAATAAAAAAGTTTTCTTTGAGGAAAAAGGGGAAGCTAATTTTGACAGGCAGGGAAAAATTCCCGCATAATTTGCTTTTATTTCTCTTCCTCTTCTTTTCCATCAACAATTCCACTCCACTTCTCAAAGCTTTAGCAAACTTAACGCACAACTCAGGGCCCCTTGCAAGAGCTAGATAGACTGGCCCTGGAATAAAAGAATAAAAATGGCATTTTTTCCCCCTCTCTCTCAAATATATCCATTGGCAAGTTATAGAGCTACAGGCACCAACTGCACTATGTTACAACATCAATGCTCGTACCAAAGCCAAGGAAGGAAGGAAGGAAGGAGGGAAGGAAGGAAGGAAGGAAGGAGGGAAGGGAAGAAGAAAGGAAGGAGGGAAGGGAAGAAGGAAGGAAGGAGGGAGGGAAGAAGGAAGGAAGGAGGGAAGGGAAGAAGGAAGGAAGGAAGGAGGGAAGAAGGAAGGAAGGAAGGAAGGAAGGAAGGAAGGAAGGAAGGAAGGAAGGAAGGAAGGAAGGAAATTTGTAGCTCAGGGTTGACTTGAGGCGTCCTTGATGCTCTATGAACTGGCTTGTTTTTCTTGCAGACGTTTCATTACCCAAATAGGTAACTAGTAAGGAATGAGGTTTGCTCTCAAGTTTATATTCTAGTGGCGTGCTCTGGCGTGATCTTAGAGGTGCTTTCGTTAGGGCTGTTTACTGTTGGCTTGTATGGCAGTTCCTTGATTGTTGGTCTGATGTTAATCTGGAGGTATTCCATCTGGATTAACATCCTGGAGGTCCTCATTTGGGTTTTCTAACAAGGGGGGGGGGAATTGGGCCGAACCCCCCCCCCCATCCTCTCCCTGCTGAGGCATTCTTGTGGCTGATCACCTTTAGGCAGGTATTTTCTCCAGAAAGTTAAAAGGAGAACATCTAGCAAAAAGAAGCTGCTACTTTAAAGGGATCCCTGAAACTCAACCCTTCTGTGTGTCAAAACAATGCCACCTGCACAGTCCTGTCCCCCTCCACGGGCACAGCTACTGAGGAATCGCAGTTTTAAAGTTTCCACAACTCGCCCCCCCCCCAAAGGGAGCACACACCTGGGGGATCAGGTCTCTGAGATCTGAGCAGGTTCTGCCTTAATCCAAACCCCCTCTCTCAATCTTCAACGGATAGTTAGAACTGCAGGAAAAAACCATGGCTACCAACCTGCCGTCTATGGAGGACCTGTCTACTGCACGAGTCAAAAAGAGGGCTGGGAAAATATCTACAGACCCCTTGCAACCTGGATATAAATTGTTTCAACTCCTACCCTCAAAATGATGCTATAGAGCACTGCACATCAGAACAACTAGACACAAGGACAGTTTTTCCCCAAAACGCCATCACTCTGCTTAACAATTAATTCCCACAACACTGTCAAATAATTTACTAAGACTGTATTACTATTATCCTTCTCTTCCTTACTAGGGTCTATCTCTTCCCACTTATTACTATAACCATGTTGCTTGTATCTTTCAATTTATATTGTTTTTGTTTCTTAGTATGATTTGATATATTAGTAACTCTGACTATCACTAAGTGTTTTATCTTTTTATTCTCAATGAATGTATTTTATTCTCCTTATGTACACTGAGAACGTATGCACTGAAGACAAATTCCTTGTGTGTCCGATCGCACTTGGCCAATAAAGAATTCAAATAATTCAAATTCTATTCTATTCTATTCTATTCTATTCTATTCTATTCTATTCTATTCTAAATTATTCCATTCCATTCCGTTCCATTCTAATTATTCCGTTCCGTTCCGTTCCATTCCATTCTATTCTGAGAAAGGGCCCTGCGGCATCAAACCTTGGGATGACCATTTCCACAAGCGTCGCACCAACATGTTAACTCATCAACTAGCATCTTTTCTCTCCCATTGATGCACCGCAATCGAGATCCCCACCTCCCTATGTTCACACCTCCTTAGGGGCTTCTGTGCACCCCCTTGTGGTTTCCTTCTCTCAAACAGGACACCTGGCAGGACCAAGAATTGACTGAACGACCCTGGGTTCTCTTTCAACCTGATTATCGGCCTGCAGATACAACCACCGCTGCCCTCCTGGGTGCTCAGGAGCTGCCAACACAGAGTGGTAAGCTACGTGCAGAGGCTGTCAACCCTGAAGCTGGCCTGGCCGAAGCCATCTTGCTGCTTCAGTGCTGCCACACCGTGGTTTTTCCAACGCCATTGTAACTTGGAAAGCCGAGCAGTAACTGCACCAGCCTCAGGCTGGGAGAGACGTGGCAACGCAACTCGTCCCGATGTGCCAGTTCTCTGCCCATCCGAGGATACCTCCTTGCCCGGGGACAGTCCTTGGACTCAGTCCAAGGGACGATGGGAGATCCCCGGGGCCTCACCTTGATGTAGTGGGTCCTGTTGGTGGAGATGCAGATGTGAATGGATGTGGGAATGTTGGTGATGATGGGGCGTCACGTTGAACATCTGGAGCCTGGCCAAGGGATCGTTGGTGAGGGACGCCATGCGCTCGGCGTGGATCCTCTCGGCAGCCAGTCTGTCCGGGTAGCTCATTTCGGGCCGTAACTGAGGGCCGGCTAAAGCGAGTCTCTCCCTCTCCAGAGGGTTAAGCCCAGGGTGGAAAGAAGCGAAGGGGTGAGGGCCTGCAGTCGGGGGGATAGTGAGGGCTCCGTGACGGGCAAAGTGCTCCATGGGGTTGGTGGCCGGGTGGAGGGCGTCCAGTTCGGGAGGCTTCACCTCGAAACCCGGCTTCATCCTTTCCCGCAGTTCCCGCTCCCTGATCTCCCGCTCCCGCAGCTCCCGTTCCCGCAGCTCCCGCTCCCGGAGGGTGGGGTCCACGTTGTAGAGGCCCGGCATGTGGTAGGCCAAGAGCGGGTCGGCGGGATTGAGGGGGACGAAGAAAGGGTGGTTCCGGTTGGTGGGGGACATGACGTGGGGACGCGCGTACTCGCTCAGCGTCCGTAGGGCCGGCGTGTCCGGACCGATGTAAGGGGGCACGGCCGCAATGGTGGTGGGAGGCGGTTCGAAAGACGGCCTCATGTGCGCTGGACCGCTTAGCTGAGATTCTCCGAGACGACCGTCGTGGGAGGAACTGGATGCTTTCTGCGGGGGGAAAAAGAGAGAGGCTCAGGGCAAATTCAAAAAGAAAACCCCAGCCCAGATGTTTCCTACTCTCCCAATTCTTCCATGGGAGGTATTGACTACGAGCAACTAAGATGATTAAAGGCGTGGAGATAACATGATACGGAGAATGATTGCAGGAATTGGTTATGCCTAGTCTAGAGAAAAGAAGGACTAGAATAGAATAGAAAAACCAGAGTTCGAAGGGACCCTGGAGGTCTTCTAGTCCAATCCCCTGCTTAGGCAGGAAACCCTACACCACTTCAGACAAATGACTGTCTAATCTCTTCTTAAAAACTTGACTCAGCCTTCCATCCTTTCTAAGGTAGGTAAATTGAGGACCCAGTTGTGAGGGCAATAAGCTGACTTTGTATAAGAAGACTCCCTCTTCTTTGGAGCAGCCCCTGAAATATTGGAACACTGCTATCAGGTCTCCCCTAGTCCTTCTTTTCACTAAACTAGACATATCCAGTTCCTGCAACCATTTTTCATATATTTTAGCCTCCAGTTCCCTAATCATCTTTGTTGCTATTCTCTGCACTCTTTCTAGAGTCTCCACGTCTTTTTTATAATATGGTGACCAAAACTGGATGCAATATTCCAAGTTTGGCCTTACCAAGACCTTATAAAGTGGTCTCAACACTTCACGTGATCTTGATTCTATCCCTCTGTTTATGCTGCCTAGAACTGTGTTGGCTTTTTTGGCAGCTGCTGTACAGTACTAGGGGAGACATGAAGATAATAGCAGTCTTCCAATATCTGAGGGGTTTCCACAAAGAAGAGGGGGTGGGGAGTGTCAACCTATTTCCCAAAACACCTGAGGGCAGGACAAGAAACGACGGATGGAAACTAATCAAGGAGAGAAGCAACCTGGAATTAAGGAGAAACTTCCTAACAGTGAGGACAATTAACGAGTGAAAACCTTCAGAAGTTGTGGGTCTCCCCTTCCTTTTGGGGTCTGATTTCAGATTTATTTATTTCAGATTTCTATACCGCCCTTCTCCTTTCGGACTCAGTCCCCACCACCCCACCTTCGCAAACAAGACAAAACCTACCGCCACCCTCTCGGCCTCTCTCTCGCGCTCCCGTTCTCGTTCCCTTTCCTTCTCTTTCTCTTTCTCCCGTTCCCTCTCTTCTCTCGCTTTCTGCTCCGCTTCCCGCTTGGCTTTCTCGATCGCCTCTTCTCGCTTCTTCGCCAGCTTGGAGCCGGCCAGGGGCATGAAGTACAGATCCGTCCTCGCGCAGGAGTTGTAGCCGCGGTCCAGGTGCTTGTAAAACCTGCAGGATGGACGGGGAGGGTGGGATGAGAAACTAAAACGATCGGCGCAGGAAAAAAAAAAGCAGCGGGATCTTTGAGCATGAAAAAGAGATGGCCACAGATCTAAAACAAACCAGGAATGTACAAAACGCAGAAACGCGGATCTAAGACAGGAAATTAGCTTTGTTCCCCTAATTTGGAAATAACGTTTCAGAGGAACTCTTTCTTGAACCAAGGATGCCTTCTGCAAGCTGTATTTTTATTCTGAAACTGACAACAGTATTGTTACAGGTCTTTTATTTGTACTGCTTTCCTTGTTCTAAACATCGATATACATATATATACACACAAAACTACTATGCTCGTTTCTAGAGGTTTGGAACTAAACTACCCATCATGTTGGCTAGGGATGATGGGATCTTTCGTCTTCCTCCCCTCTAGCAGGACATCAGCTGGAAAAATGATTGGGGACTGTATTCCTCCCAGATTTTTCTCCGTGTTATTCAGTCTTGATCGTTAAGTGCCTGAGGTTTTATATCGTGATGCACTAAGCCACATTTAAACCATGGTGTCAGCACTTCAACCTGCATTTACTCTAGTGCTGACATAAGGAGGAGAAGAGGGGGCAGCTGGCAAGAGGACGCTTGACTTCTCACCTACTTATTTTCCCTGAAGATAATGTCCCCTAGGCGATGAGTTGGGAGGGGGGACATTCCTAGGAGCTGAAGTACTAGATATGGGGAGAGTGATTTGGAAGAGGGCCAATGGGACGCTGAGAATTGGGGAACAGAAAGGGAAGGTTTGGGGTCAGGAAGTCAGTGTTAGCTTCGTTTGGAGTCATGTTAGGATGTCGTGCTCAATAAATAGGAGTTTTTTCTTCAAAGATTTTGTTTGAAATGCATTTTATTCGAGACAACCACGAAACTTGACACATGGTTTCCTGAATACCCCACAAAGGGGCTGAATTCGCATCCCATCTAAGTCCCCCAAGCCTGCCCAAACCATCTATCTCTTCCAGCTAAGTAGATGGGCCAAAATGGAGATGAGCACTGCCCCATAGAGTTGGGAATGACTAGCACATATGTGCAAGAGAAACCTTTACCTTTTACTATATATACTATATATACTATATATATACTCTACATCTCCAAGCAATAATCATGAAATCACACCCCCTCACCTAGCTGACTGACTGGCGTGGCTCGGCGTGTCCACCACGGTGGGTTCTGGCGAGGGGCTCCGGGTGGGGGGAGGCGGGCTCTCAGGCTCCTCGACGTCATCAGGCGCCTCCTCCTTAATCTGGATGGAGGGGATGGTGCAGGGGGCCACCACAGGGACGTTTCCGCCGCAGGCCGCTGAGCTGGACACGGCCCCCTGGCTCGGAGCGCTTGGCACAGATGGCGGCGTGGAAGTCGACGGGCAGGAGGGAGGTGTGGCGGGAGGCGGCCCCCCAGGAACGAAGGGGTGCTGGGCGAAGGAAGGCTGGGGAGGAGCAGGGTGGCTCTGGGTGAGGACTGGCGGCTGGGCGGGGGAGGGTTGCAGGGGCTGGCTCTGGGGCATCAGCTGCAAGGGAGGGGGGTGCGCGGAGGGCGGGTGGTGGGTCGAGAGGGAGCTGAGCGGCTTCAGCGCAGGGGGCGGGGGCAGGTTGGAGTTCATGGAGAACGGCGAAGGGCCCGAGAGGTGCTTGTGGGAAGGTAGCGTGGGGAGAGGCGGGATGGGCGTGGTGGGTGGGGGCTTGATGTGGGGCATGGCCATAGGGGCGGGGGGCAGGGGCTGCTCCCGGGGGCACTGGGAAGACAGCGGGGACGAGGAGGCCACTTGGCCAGAGGAGACCTGCAGGGCAGGGTGGGCCGGGGGAGGGAGGGGACCCTGAGACTGCGAAGAGGAGGCTGGCAAGGCCTGGGGCGGGAGAGTGAAGGGCTGTGCAGGGGCCGGGTGGGGCAAGAGGGGCTGTGCTTGCAGACCATGCGGGAGGGCCTGTATCTGGCCGTGGAGGGGCGGTTGAGGGTGCGGCTGGGGGAGGCCCTGGGGCTGGCCCGGGGGCCCTGCGAGTGGCTGCAGTGGCGGGTGAGGAGGGGAAGGCAGCCTGGGCGGGTGCAACGAAGGGACCTGCTGGATGTGCGAATGAGGGAGGCCCGGAGCCAGAGGCTGGCTGGGGGGCTGCGCTCCTGAAGGAGACACATGCGGGACGACGGTGGAAGAGGGGATGCTGGAGCCGGCCGGCAAGGAGGGCAGCTGTGCTGGGAGGGGCCCCGGAGGCTGAGTCGGGCCGTTGGGCGCCTGGAGAGACGATGGCTGCTGCTGGGCCGAAGAATCCGAGTCGCTCTCGTTGTCCTGCGGGCTGGAGATGCTGGGCGAGGTGCTGCGGTTATCCTGGTCGATGTCTTTGGGGTCGCTGCTGCCCTCGTCGTTCACGCTGCGGCTGTCGGAGCTCTCCCCTTCGCCCTCCGAGGGGGAGTTGGGCCGGCTGATCTCCTGCGGAGGGGGAGGAAGAAGAGGAGGGGAGGACATGCCGGAAGATTGGATCCTCCAGAAAGCTGCCATGGAGACGGAGGGGAGCTACCACAGGCCACAGGGGTCTCTTGAGCATCTCATGGCTTCCATCAGATCATGCCACCCCTGGAGGACAACCCAACCTCCCTGGTGCCCTTCGGAAAACCACCGTGGGCCTCCCCTAACCCTGGTGTCAAGATGGGCTTCCACCCACCCACCCTAGCGCCAGCGGCTTCTTCTCCAAAGAACTCACCTGGGTTTTGGTTTTCTTGGCATTGATGCGGTCGGGCTCCTCGCTGTCGGACGCCGCCTTTTCTCGCTGCCTCTTGGAGCTCTTGAGAGGGGAAGAAGCCTCTTCTTTAATCTTCTGCCGCGGAAGAAGAAGAAAAAAAAAAGCAACGTGGTTTAAAGGGAAGGCACAGGGCTAGCGGCGCCAGGGTATCTGGCCTCCTAAAGGCTTCACCCAAGGGGTTTTTTTCCTGAAGTGGCGGAAGGAACAAGGAACGGAGAGCTGGAAGGAGATGGAGGCTTCAAGTGAAGCACCACCGCTGATGGGTTGAGAGGTTGGATTTCCAACAGGCTTCCCCAATGGAAGGTCAGCGGAGGGGAAGAAGGGAGAATGTCTGACTTGGCTGTAGGGTTTATTGTCCCCCCCCCCCTCTTTTTCCTCTTCTGTACTGGAGTTTCTTTCACATGGCTTCAGGCTTGACACAGCTTGGAGCCAGGGGTGGGCTTCAAACATTTTAGAAAGGGGTTCTCTCCCTGGTTGCTGGGTGGGCGTGGCCATGGAGGGTGTGGCCTAGTCGGCCTCCTGCACCAGGGTGGGGAGGGGGTGTCTTTGCCCTCCCCGGGCTCTGGAGGCTTTTCTCGAGCCTCCGGGAGGGCAAAAACGGCCTCCCCAGGCTTCCCCAACTTCCAGTAGGCCCGTTTTTCACCCTCCCTGAGCCTCCGTGCGCACTCTGCATTTACCTGCATCCAAAACGGGCCGCATGGGGACTCCTGGGAGGGGAGGGGTGGCCAGGGTAAGCCAGGAGTGGGATTTGGGGATTCTCCGAACTGCACAGAATCTTAGCTAGAGGTTCTCCCGAACCCCTGCGAACCCCCAGCAGCCCACCTGTGCTTGGAGCTGAAGGGGGGGGGGGGTTGTAAATAAAACAAACTCGTTTATTCTGGGTCAAGGACACCCTAACTGCCGGCTGGCTAGAGGTGGAGGAAGGAGTTGCCAGGCGACCAGCCAGTGCCTGGATTGGACAATGTGACTGTCCAATCACATTTGGGGGGAAAGTGAAACTTTTGGTTTTAATGAGGTGGAAAGCGCGGGAAATCTCAGAGTTGGCTTTCCACCAGCTAATGCCAAGATGATGTCTCCAAAATAAAAAACGGTTCTTTGAGAATCTGCCTTGGAATTCTGCTTGAAATGGGGTCATTACTTGGAATCCTGACACTCAAAGGATGACACGAGAAGACTCATAATCCCAGCTGGGTGATTCACTGGAAGCTGGCAAGATGAGGAACTCTGCGGGAGGGTTCAGAGGGGCAGGGAAGGGCCAGCTCCATCAGCCGCGTTTGTCTTCCCTACCCGCGAAGGAAAGCCAAAACTCTAATCACAACGTACTTTGGTGGATTTCTTGACCGAATCCGCCTTGCTGTCGTTACTGGACGTGCTGGCCGCGCTGGGTGAGTTACGGCCGCTGGATCGGATGTCCTCGTTGATGGGCGAGGCCCTCCCGTCTGGGCTGGTGGGTTGCTTCTTACGACCGCTGCGAAGTGTAGACATCTGCTGGTTAAAAGAGAAAGGCAAGGTCAAAGGCTGCTTCCGGGGAGGCTCGACCTTGACCGCCAATGTGAATAAACTGACTTTTAATTCTCTCCCAAAGCCATCTTGTGTTGGTCAAGCGACTGTTGGGTCTCCATCAAGGGCAATTCAAGTCTGGATCCAAACTTAGTGAGGTCTTGACCAGGTCATTTTGGGAGAAGATGGCTCAGTTCCATGGTTTCCACCATGTTAGGTCTGGTTCCAGCCCCGGAATGCACCTGGTGGCCCTTCTTCCATTCCTCAGCATTCAGGAAGGAAGCCACACTGTCACCCCAACGCTCCCTGGAGAACCTCAAAGTTCTCAAGTCCTCGGTAAAGCAGGGAAGCCAAAACAACTGAGCCTAGGAAAGGATAATGTGCGATGGGACCATTGCCTCTTGCTTTGTCCACCTGTTGAACATTATGAAACGAAGGACTTGGGGGATGGGGGGGATATGATAGCAATATTCCAATATTTGAAGGGCTGCCACAAATAAGAGGGGGTCCACCTATTTTCCAAAGTACCCGAAAGCAGGACAAGAAGCAACGGATGGAAACTAATCAAGGAGAGAAGCAATTTAGAATCAAGAAGAAATTTCTTGACAGTGAGAACAATTAATCAGCGGAACGACTTGCCTCCAGAAGTTGTGAATGCTCCAACACTGGAAGTTTTTAAGAAGGGATTGGACAACCATTTGTCTGAAATGGTATAGGTTTCCTGTTTGAGCAGGGGTTGGACTAGAAGACCTCCAAGATCCCTTCCAATTCTATGACTCAATGTTCTATGTCAGGGGTGTCAAACTCATATTCATTTGAGGGCCGCATCAGGGATGTAGTTGACCTTGGAGGGGTGGGGGGTGGTTCGGCAGGTTTGGCTGACTGGGTGGGTGTGGCCGACTGGGTGGGTGTGGCCAGCTTGACGCCACTCCCCAAACTGCTGGGCCCTTTCCTCTTTACATTTGGTAGACTGGGCCGAAGCCACGCTTCAAGGTTTCTTCCAACTCTGTTATTCTGTTACTTTATCACAAAAATGGACTTACCGAGCCGCGACTCCTTCTCGTCCTCATGCTATGCTTCCCACTGAGACCGTCATCTTCCTCTTTGACCGGCTTGAACATAAAGGGCGGCGGGTCCACCGGCTTCTCGATGGGAGGGAGCTCTCCGTATTTCTTGAAGTGGATGCGACAGTCCGTGCAGAGAAGGATGTTTTCCCGGCCCCCGTGATGCCAGTCCTTGGAGGCTGTTAAAAAAATGTACAAAAAAAAAATGCGATCAACCCCGGAAGAACGAATCACAGATTTAAAGGGGAGGGGGAAGGGGTGTTAGCCCTGGAACCATTTTTCTCCCTCCTGGCACTTTTAGGGCTGCCACAACAAAGCGAGTCAAGCTGTGGGAATGGGAAGGGGGAGGAAGAGATAGTGAGCGGGACAGAGGTGGGTTTCAGCAGGTTCTGACCAGTTCCGGAGAACCGGTAGCGGAAATTTTGAGTAGTTCGGAGAACCGGTAGTAAAAATTCTGAGTGGCCCCGCCCCCATCGATTCTCTGCCTCCCGAGTCCCAGCTGATCGGGAGGAAATGGGGATTTGCATGATTCTGTTGATGTAGCCGTGTAACAATAAAGCAGAATTTGTTTACAGTCTGGTCTACCTGGGGTCACACCCGCTAGGTAAAAAATACGTACTGGTGGTGAAGCAGTGACGACACGCATAGCCCTTCAGCTCCTGTTCGCTGTCCTCGCTGTCGAAATCATCTTCGCTGGCCGAACTCAAATCCACTAGGAGGAATTAAGAAGGGGACAGGGTAATAGATGCAAAGGAGCTTTGGCGCTAAGTGTACTTCGTCGCTTTGTATGGTTTTATTGGTAATACATGTTTGAACCTTGTATTTTGATATGGCCTATAGGCAGGGGTGGGCTGCTGGGGGTTCGGGAGAACTTCTAGCTAAGATTCCGTGCAGTTTGGAGAACCCCCAAATCCCACTCCTGGCTGGCCCCGCCCACCCCGCCCCTCCCAGGAGGCCCCACACGGCCCGATTTGGATGCAGGTTTAAGTGCAGGGCATGCTCGGAGGGTCACGGAGTGTGAAAAATGGGCCACTGGAAGTTCGGGAAGGCTGGAAACGGGCCTGTTTCCACCCTCCAGAGGGCCTCCAGAGCCTGGGGAGGCCGTTTTCGTCCTCCCGGAGGCTCGAGCAAAGCCTCTGGAGCCCGACTAGGCCACGCCCACCCAGCAACTGGGCAGAGAACCCCTGGCTAAAATTTTTGAAGCCCACCCCTGCCTATAGGCTAATCAATAAAGCTATATCTATCAATAATCAAAGGGGACAGGGAGAGAGAGAGGGAGAGAAAGGAGAGGGAGAGGGAGGGAGGGAGAGAGAGGACAAAAATAAACAAACTGATTCAGGGTATCTATCTTCCTTCTCCTTTTTTGGGGGGGCTACACAGCAAGGAGGAGCAGCACAGAATGTGATACTTATGTGTGTCTTTTTTCTACTGAATTATGTAAGGAAGAGTAAAGAAACACCCCCCCCCCCCGGGCCATGCCTCTTTCCTCTGGACACTCAATTTTGTCACCGCACTCACGCCTACCGAGATTTCCCTGGCATTGTCTCCAACCTATACACTATACAGGTAGTCCTTGCCTGACAACTTTCCATTTGGTGACCGTTTTAGAAATTAAAATAACATCGAAAAAAAGTGACTTATGACTGTTTTTCACACTTATGATTGTTGCAGCATTCCTGTGGTCATATGATCAAAATTAGGACGTGTCCCGTGTGTGTGTGTGTGTGTGTGTGTGTGTTCATTCAATGCCCTTTTGCGACCTTCCGAAAAGCAGAGTCAATAGGGGAAGCCCGATTCACTCAACAACCGTGTTACTAGCTTCACAACTTCGGCGACTCACTTTAACAAATGTGGCAAGGAAAGTTGTAAAACGGGGGCAAAACCAACCCACTTAACAACTGTCTCACTTAGCAATAGTGAATTCTGGGATCAATTGTGGTTCTAAGTCGAGGACTGCCGCTACTGCTGCAGTCATAAGGGCTAGAAACTTAAATTTTCTTTTTTTCAAAGTGAAAGAAGTATATATTGTAGAGCAGGCTGAAGCCAGCACCCCCTTCAGTTGGGTTCTCCGCCTAGACAGAGAGCAGGTACAAAGCCTACCCTGTTTCCCCGAAAATAAAACCCAATTGGAAAATAAGCCCTAGCATGATTTTTCAGGATGCTTCTAATATAAGCCTACCCCCAAAATAAGCCCCAGTTAAGATGGTCAGCCAGATGGATGCATTTAGTACCGTATTTCCCCCAAAATAAAACCCAATTGGAAAATAAGCCCTAGCATGATTTTTCAAGATGCTTCTAATATAAGCCTACCCCAAAAATAAGCCCCAGTTAAGATTGTCAGCCAGATGGATGCATTTAGTACCGTATTTCCCCAAAAATAAGACCCAATTGGAAAATAAGACCTAGCATGTTTTTTCAGGATGCTCGTAATATAAGCCCTACCTCAAAAATAAGCCCCAGTTAAGATGGTCAGCCAGATGGATGCATTTAGTACCGTACTTCCCCCAAAATAAGACCCAATCGGAAAATAAGACCTAGCATGTTTTTTCAGGATGCTCGTAATATAAGCTCTACCCCCAAAGTAAGCCCCAGTTAAGATTGTCAGCCAGATGGATGCATTTAGTACCGTATTTCCCCCCCAAAATAAGACCCAACCAGAAAATAAACCCTAATGCATCTTTTGGAGCAAAAATTAATATAAGACCCGGTTTTATTTTCAGGGAAACATGGTAGAAGCTGAGCCACAAAATAGGTTGTGCAGGTGGCTAAATGCGTCACGCTCAGAGACAGACCGAGCGCCTGAGCACAGTTCCAGTTTCACAGCCGGGTCCAGCCCGAAGTGGAGAAAACCACGACTTTCTGTTTGACCCCATGCATCTAAAACAGAGATCGATCCCCCCATCCCCCACCCATCTTTTCAGTTTCCTACTTACAGAATTCGCTGGAAGGAGGCCTGGAGGGGGTGTTAACCGGAGTAGAAGCTGTCCGGGTCTTAATTCTTCGAAAGACGGCTTGTCGCCGATGCCTGCGGTGAGCCCGGGAACTGGCAGCTTCCGGGGTTTTCTTCCAATAGTAATAGAAGGTGATCAGTTCTCCCTGGGGAAAAAAAGAAAATGAGCGGGATCGCAAGGTTAGCCGAGAAAGTTAAAGAAAAGGAACATGATTTTTTTTTTTTTTGGAAAAATCAATTCCTTCAATTCTTTGTTTTTTAAGTTTTATTTTTATTTTTTTACAAAGATATCAATGCGTGAACACTGTAGCACCTGGGTGTCATACATTCTAATAAAAATAAAACTAGTAGAATTAATCATAGTTTTTTAAAAAAATTATTCATTTATTTTTATATGCCGCCCTTCTCCAAAGACTCAGGGCGGCTTACAATGCGTTAAGCAATAGCCTTCATACTTTTGTATATTTTATACAAAGTCAGCTTATTGCCCCCACAAACTGGGTCCTCAATTTACCCACCTTAGAAAGGATGGAAGGCTGAGTCGACCTTGAGCCTGGTGAGAATTGAACTCGCAGCAATTGCAGGCAGCTGGATGTTAAATGCTGCCTTAGTAGGAGGCATTAGCCGCCTACGCCACTCAGGCTCCTTTTACGTTTTAGTTATTACCTTCAATCAATTTATATATTTCTAATAATGATACACATTTATATGACGTTGCAGCCTGTCGTTATTCAATTATTCCCTGCTTCCTCTTGTTACTGCTTTTATTTTATTGTATAAAAGTGTATACACCGATATTCTCTTACTTCTATCTCTTATTCTAACTTTTGCCTTGGAACAGGGATGTGTCAAGGCCCACGGGATGGATCTGGTCCTGTGGGATGCTTAGATACTGGCCCAAGGTGCCACCCTGGAAGCAGAGAGGGACTGGCCCGGGATGCCTCTGCCAGTGAAAATGTAGCTCGGGAGGGCTGCCTCCACCCCCGCCCCCCCCAGCTCTGTTTTCACTGGTAGAGGGTTGCAGGAGGCCCGTCACAGCTGGAAACGGGGCCCGGGGGTTTTTTTTTTTTTGCTGCCACCACAGGTACCCCCGACATGCGTGACGTCAAGTTCCCCCCCTCCCCCCAGGTCGAACACAACCTTGATGTGGCCCTCAATGAAACCGAGTTTGACACCCCCTGCCTCGGAGGGTAGGCCACGTTCTGCTCTCCTTTTCGAAGTTGCATTTCCGTATCCACCGAAAGTCTGTAGAGATTTTCAATTTCGAAATTTCAATTTCAAATCTTTATTCTCAGTGCACAATGTATGTACAATGAGATCGGTTGAGCTCCTTCAGTGCACACACCCCCACATCACAATACAACTCACAGTGAAGACAGAAAATCCCTAACTCAATAAATCGTATTAACAAAACACTCAGTCCTATTGTACCCGTGTGAACATGTTACACGTTGCACCGGCCCTGCAAGTCCATCGTACTACGTAGTTACAATGTTATTCAGTCATCCAGGTTATGGTTGTCCCAAAGGCGCTTGTTTTTTCCAAGAGGCCACTGGACTTTCTGTTGTTTTTTTTTTTCTTTGAAGACATTTTGCTTCTCATCCAAGGAGCTTCTTGAGCTCTGACTGGATGGTGGGGAATAATGGAAGGATTCAAAGCAAAAAGAAAGAAGTCGAGTGGGCTCCTGAAAAAGCACCTTTGGTTCATATGGATGGTTTTGAACGGTTGGCATTCCCGGCACGAGAAAAAAGTTAACGTCCCCGGTCCCTCAAGTTTAATCCTTCGCATGAATTAAAAGCCTTAAAAATAGCTAAAATTAGATAATTAAAAAGAGGGGAGGGGAAAGGGAGCGGCAGCTGATAACCTGGGATTGAAAAAATGAATAAAAATCCAGTTCTACGATCTCCTGCTCAAAGCTCTTCCCACAATACGAAAGCCGTAAGAAGACGATCTATTTATTTTCTTTATTTATTTTCTTTATTTATTTTTTTTTGAAATCTTCATGTACGGATGTTCGGATAATTAGGCAATCAAAGGGCCCACCAGGAGAAATCGGCAGTAATCCCGCAGCGTAATGAATCTGGCTCGGGTTCAGAATATCAGATTCGAAAGAGAGAGCAGGTGTAGTGGGGAGTTTTAAAGCCTGGTGGATGGATTTCAACTCCGTGTGTGTGTGTGTGTGTGTGTGTGTGTGTGTGTGTGTGTGTGTGTATGTTTCTAACTGACTTCTCAGAAGCCGACAAATCGGAAGGGACACTGCCTCCAATTGCCCACAAGAGGGTGCGTATGTCTCTCTCTCTCTCTCTCTTCCCCTTTCTTTCTCTGTCTCCCTCCCTCCCTCTCTCTCTGTCTCTCTCCCTGTCTTTATCTGTCTCTGTCTTTCTCTTTCTCTCTCTCTCCCTCTCTCTCTCTCCCTCTCTTTATCTGTCTCTCTCTGTGTCTTTCTCTTTCTCTTTCTGTCTTTCTCTCTCTCTGTTTCTCTCTGTCTCTGTCTCTCTCTCTCCCTCTCTTTATCTGTTTCTCTGTGTCTCTTTCTCTGTGTGTCTTTCTCTCTTTCTCTTTCTGTCTTTCTCTCTCTGTTTCTCTCTCTCTCTGTTTCTCTGTCTCTGTCTTTCTCTCTCTCTCCCTCTCTTTATCTGTCTCTCTCTGTTTCTCTCTGTCTCTTTCTCTATGTGTCTTTCTCTCTTTCTCTTTCTGTCTTTCTCTCTCTCTGTTTCTCTCTCTCTCTGTCTGTCTGTCTCTCTCTCTCTCTCTGTTTCTCTCTGTCTCTGTCTTTCTCTCTCTCTCTCTCTGATCTAACCAATTCCGCAAACCTCAACCCCAACTGCCAGGTTGGGTCTCCTCTGGGTAGCTAACATTCATAGATGCCAAAATGAAGGTTTAGGCCAATGCCGGGCGAAGAAACCGGAGACAAGCCAGGAAATGCAGGTTTGAAAACTCGGTCTTGGGAGGGTGCAACCAGGCCCAACCTGCTCCCTTAATGGCGATTGTGTCTGGCTAAGGAATTAAATGCTGGAATAAGAGTAAATCCGGGAGGATTATAGGGTTCCTGGGTGGTAGGGGACTGCCGTGCAGACAAAGGACCCGTCAAGGAAGCTTTCGGGAAGCGGCAGACGGGGAAACACCCCCCACCCCCGGGTGAGTCAAGCCGAGGGAACATCAATCAAACACGCACTGCGTGTGCCCGCTGACACGGCTCACCCCTCGTGCATAAATCCAGGGGACAAAAGCCACCCGAAACATTAACGCAAGGAGTTGTGGATCAAAGGGAGGCCCTGGGTACAAATGGGGGGGGGCGCTTTGTAAATTAGCCAGCGGGGCCTGTTCTTTGGCGGCACAGAAGCCCACCATCCGTCTGGCTGATCTCCCTTGCTTCCCCTCACCCTCCCAAGACCTGTCCTGCTCCTAAAATGTCCAGGCCCAAATAGAGACGGATCTCAACATCTATGGAGATACTCGGTCATACATGTTATAGTTGTCCCAAAGTTCTCCCCCCACCCCCCAAGAGGCGTGGACTTTTTTTCCCGCCTTTGAAGACGTTTCGCTTCTCATTCAAGAAGCTTCCTCGGTTCTGACAGAAGGCTGGAGAATGGAATATAAATCCTTCCATTCTCCACCCTTCAGTCAGAACTGAAGGAGCTTCTTGGGTGAGAAGCGAAAAGGTCTTCAAGGAAAAACAAAGTCCAGTTGGCTCGTGGGGGGGAGGGGAAGCATTTTTGGGTGCCCCTCTAAATCTCTGTATCTCAGGTGATCCCTTTAAAACGTAAAGATGTGATCTGAAGCCAAGCTAGCTTTTAATGCTGGCTGGCTGGGGGATTCTGGGAGTAGAAGCCCATCCACAGTTGAGAAACACCTTGCGTGTGCCTAGTGATGCGTTTTACCTGTTGGCTGCACCACAGGTGATATCCTTTCAGATTAACAGATTATACAGAGTTGGAAGGGACCTTGTAGGTCATCTAGTCCAACCCTCCATCCAAGCAGGAGACCCCACACCATTTCTGACAAAATGGCAGTCCGTCTATTCTTGAAAGCTTCCAGGAATGAAGCTCCCACAATTTCCGAAGGCAACTTCTGTTCCATGGGTTGATTGTTCTCACTGTCAGAAAATGTCTCCTTATTTCCAGGTTGAATCTCTCCTTGATCAGTTTCCATCCGTTGTTCCTTGTCTGGCCTTCGGGTGCTTTGGAAAATCGCTTGACCCCCCACCCTCTGTGGCAGCCCCTCAAATACTGGAAGACTGCTCTCATGTCTCCCTTGGTCCTTCTTTTCATTAAACTAGACATCCCCAGTTCCTGCAACCGTTCTTTGTATGTTTTAGCCTCCAGTCCCCTAATCCTCTTGGTTGCTCTTCTCTGCACTCTTTCCAAAGTCTCCACATCTTTTTTATAATGTGTTGACCAAAACTGGATGCAGTACTCTAGGTGGGGCTTTACTAAGGCTTTATAGAGTGGTATTAGTACCTCCCTCGATCTTGATTGACTCCCTTTAGTAATGCAATTTAGGATTGCCTTGGCTTTTTTGGCTGCCGCTGCACACCGTTGCCATCGGTACAGGCACTACTATGGAAAGTTTTTAAGTAAGGGTGTCCTGGGATGGGGCCTGCCCTATTCCCCAGCAAGCTATAGCTTTAATTTCCTACTACTTTTTTTTGTTTTTATTTAGTTGTTTTCTCACATTTACATGGCCGCCCATCTGCCCCGAAGTGAGTCTGGGCAGCGTAGGATAAACCCGCTTCCGGCAACAGTCACTCCAGATGCTTTCAAAATTCAAACGAAGAAGTAAATAAATAAATACCGATTTTTTCCTTTGGAGACATGGATGAAAAGACGGATTTTCGGCTCTGATAAAAGAAGATTTTAAGGCTGTTTTGGAAGGAAGATGCTGGGCCTTGTGGGCGACACTGCCCCCTAATGGCAGAACACAGCATTACGTGCCTGAACTTGGAGCAAAAGAAGGTTTGAAATATGTTTGCTAAAATTAGCGACAACCGGCTGTGCTATATTTACACACAAGCCAGAAAAAGACCAGCCGTATGACAGGAAGGGAGAAGAGAAAGAATGACTAATGCAAACCAGAACAGGGAATTATTATTATTATTATTTTAAAAAGTAATTTAGAAGCACCAAATTGAAAAGATGAAAACGGG